AGGTAGGGTTAACATACATGTGTATTTTCCCGGACATGTCAGGCTTTTTGGTTCTTAAATCGCTGTCCGGGAGGAATTTTTTAAATTCCTGGGAAAATACAGACATATGATAACCCTATTGGTACAAAAAATACACACTGTGGCACATCCCTTAAATCAGAACTTTTTATAGGGAACCAGTTGCTAAGAAATGAAAGGTCTTTTTTTTTTTTACATTATTTTTTTTTTTAGTCATCGCTGCCGGGGCCCCGCCGAAAATGTTCGAATTAGGCCCCGCACTTCCTAAAGCCGGCCCTGCTTCTGGTGTTGGAATATATGAATCTATGAAAGTACAGATAGCCTTGGCTGCAGCTAAGCAGTACAATGGGTTCGGCTGTTGCTGCACCTCACAAACTCCTGTGAGGCATAGGGATAGGGGGCAGAAACACATTAAGCACTTATTTGGTTGTTTGCTACCCAGATCTGGTTTTAGGCTTGGCCTTAGCACCTCTTTTTCAGGCTTGACTCTGGCACAGACATAAACGATGGCATGATAGCTTCACCTGCTACTTCCTATTGATAACTTTTGATGGCACTAGCTTTAGATGTAGCCTTGTTAAATCTTATATCCCAAAAGAGTGCTTCAGGGAGCACAGTAATAGCTCGGATCAACATTCCAAAATGAACAGCGTGGCTCCATTACATTTAATACAAAAACTTTATCTTCTGATTAAGAGTGTACACAAGTCAAAACAAACTAAGGTCTCAAGAACTGAGCTGATTATTCAGACCCACCAATCAAGACAGAACTGATTTTTCAAGAATTCTTACTGTAGTAAGGACAGAACAGCTTATTTTCTAATCATCTAGTGTAACAATACGGAGAGGAAATATACACAAATATACAACTTATATAAATTAGAACTGTACAGTCAAGGTTCAATGGACTGATACACTATTACAGTATGGCCAATATGGATTTACTTAAGGTAAATGGAATATACATTCAGAAAATACTTTAACATCTCCTACTGAAATAAGTTAAATAAATACGAATACTAAGGTTGCACTTTCCATTAAACAAAAGTTTGAAACCAACAAAATAAATGCTGCACCTTTTGATGTGTCATGCCTGCTTAGGTAAGAAATAATTTATAATAATATCACCAGGAAATGGAAATCTTTAGTTTACACTACCAGCTGTATTTACCCACAAAGTGAACATCTCTTTAGTTGGACAAATATTGAAGAAAATACATAGTTAACCCTGACTATAATCTGTATGTTCTAACATTACTGCACTTTGCAACAGAGCAAAGTGCAAAACTGTTTCTAGAATCAATTAACGGGTTATCGTGGGCTGTTCCTATCAAAATCCAGTGCATCAGAGAAGATCACACAATAGAGCCATGTTTCCAAAGCATATGGCCAAATTCTCCCTTTGGATACAGGTATACATCTGTCATTGGCTTAAATGATATTTGTGTGAGTACATCTAAGGATAGAGTTTGTACCTTATGTTGTCTCAGGGGCTGGCAAGAAGAAGCGAGATTGGGAATTTCAAGTGGACGATAGATAGGAAGACAGCATTAATGGCTTGGTCTGAAAAGGTAATCTAGTATCTCCAAGGACAGCCTTCAAAAACTGCTTTGCTTTCTCTGTGTGGAGGAGAACAGGCTTTTCAAGTGGCAATGCTGCCCTGCCTTGTCCCCCACCCCCAGGCTGCTTAAGAAGCCAAGAGTGTTCCATCTTCACAAGTAACTGATGAACCATTGCTTCAGGGTTATGGCCACCAGTGGGACAGTAATTCATTTTATATTAGAAGTCTTTGTGGAAACTATTGCACATTGTCAATTTCACATGATAAAGCCCAAAACTCCACAACCACGTCTCTTCATATTCAGTATCTTTTTACCCACAGTATGTACATAAATTAGAATGTGAAATCCTTCATTTCTAAAAATATAATCATATTCACAAACCTTTTGGAATTCTCAAACAAACAGCCCGGAGGGCTTACAAAGCTTCAAGCACCTTCTTAAAAGTAATAAATGTCCTTACACAGCTCATATTTATATAATGGCAGGAAATATTAGAAGCCTAAATCAAAATGAACACGCCCTACTTGCTGCTCAGAAAAACACTCTAATTTAAAGACCAGGAAATAGAAGTTGATCACAATTTGGTAAATGCCTTCTGGTTAAAGAAAGTAGTTCATTTAACGAGTTACTATTACCTTAGAAATATTTGACTAGATTTGATCTATTTTATCTATTTTCTAGCAAAAGCAGAAGTAGTGACAAACATTAGCACAAGACATTTTATGTTGCTAATTGTTTTTACTCACATACTCTAGAATACTGGCATTGAAGTAGTCAGAGAAGGATTTTAATCTCCGATATGATGCCATGATTCTGAATACAGAACATCTTACTGTTTTTTAAAACATCTCTTTACTTTTCAGTCTTGTTTTCCACTTAATCATGGTCTCTTTTTAGTCCCACAGAAATCTCCTAATCTGCTTCTTGTAGATTATGTCCAGCCTCTATAAAACACTTTAAGATTGTTGGATGAAAGGTGCAATATAGTGTAAATACAAAATATCAGGTATTCAAGTTATATACAGTACATGTTATGTGTCTAACCAGATTATAGCATTCAGTTTTCCTACCACATTTTTGATAGTACTGGGAGCATAAATTAGAAATAACTGGAGGATACTAAACTCAGTGTAAACACTGACCTGCTATTCACATAAAATCTATTGTGGTTTATATCAAATTACATATACAATGCTATATTAAAAAATTTGTATAAACAAAGTCAAGTACAGCACTCAGATTAGGAAACAGCAGAATTAAGGTCACCTGTGAAATGTTAATTTGGCACCCTTGTGAGAGTGCACAATACAATCTTTAATTATATGATGACATACTATTTTTTCCCCCTGCAGGATCTCTGCCTCATTTAGAGCACAGGATGGATGTTGCTTGCTGAATAAGCAGCTACTCAGTATTTTGTTTTATCCTCATTGAGCAGTCTGTGACGTCCATCCTTATTTATACTGCACGCCATCCAAGCCCTGCACCAAATACAGATTTAATTTCTTTGTGGGTTTTCTATCACTATAGTATTTGAGTGCTTCACAACCATTAATCTATGTATCTTCACAACACCCTTAGAGAAAAGGGGGTATTATTCCCCTTTCACATATTGGGGGCTGAGGCAGAGAGATTCCTGTCAAAAGTATCCAAAGTGCCTGTAGTCTGATTTTTCAGAAAACTTCGTATTTTATATCACTTTATATGTTCAAAACACAGACTTCACCTACAGTTGTGAGTGCTCAGCACTTCTGCAACTCAGTCCCCAGGTGTCTCAAATCAGGCTCTCACAAACTAGTGGCCACCTGTGAAAAAAGTTTGGCTTAAGTGACTTGCCCAGCACCACACAGAAACTCTATGGCAGAGGCAGGAACAGAATCCAACTTTTCAAGTGCGGAATTCAGTTGCCTTGGCCATCAAACTATCCTTTCTCTTACTGCAATCCCATTTCATTCCCTACACACCTTCCAATTTCTACAATAAACAGTCCTACAGACAACTGTCTCTATGCAACCCGGATTCATTTTTCCTCAGCAATGTGCATCCTGTACATTGAATGAGGCAGGGGTCCCGTGGAAAAAAAATAGTATGTGATCATGTAATTATAGACTGCATCATAATGCATATACACAGGGAGTGCATTGACACTGCACAGGCAACCTTAATTCTGCCATTTCGTAACTTTGGAGCCCATGACTTTGCAACCTTAACATTATCCTAAGGTAGTATTTTGTATGTGATCTCCTAGATTTAAAAAAAAAAAAAGCAAACTGTGGCTACCTGCACTACTGATAGTGAGGTTTAAAAGTGGGTGGAGTATTGGATTAGTTCTAGTGGAGGGGGTCAACACATTACAAGAGTCACTATTGTCACTAGATCCGGGCTGAAGATGGAGAAGCCTGCATTACCACTACATGTAATGTACCTGGTTTGTGGAAAAAGACAATTTCATCCTCTAGAAGAGTCTGTTCAACAAATTTGTAGACGGAGAGTCCCGTTAAGGGGGTAGGCATAGGTGGTTTAAAACCCCACCTTTGGATAGCCTTGATCCTTCTGCAGCTGCATGCAGGCCGGTCTCTTTGTACTGTTAGAACAGCTCAAAGGATGCTCTAATTTACACCAGGCTGAAATAGTTACAAGGGGCCAAAATGCAACTGAGGATTGACATGTTGCAGAAGCATCTGGGCCATGCCCTCTTTTCCCTGCTACACTGGCAGCAGGGTGGTTGTGTGGCATAAGAGCCTCTACATCAGATCTAGTCCACTGGAAAATCAGCCTTACAGTTCCTAGGCCAGTTAAACTAGATTATAATGGTAATGCAGCACACACTAGCTGACCTGCACTAGAGTAACCCACCCAGTAACTTGATTATTTGTAAAAACATTTTGTTCTCTGCTGCTTATGAGTACATCTCTTCCTCTGCCTTCCATTAAGTGTCAGATTTTATAAAAGAGGATTATAAAACAGGAGAGTAATAAATTAGTATTACAAAGAAAAAAAAATCCAATCTCTAGAGTGAAACATGCATGACAATTGCACACCAAAGCAAGAATGTGTTAAATAAGAACTGTATCAAAAAACTGCATGCAGAATCTCTGTTGGAGCAAGAAGACAGAGAAGGCTTGGAGATAAAATCAAACTAGACAATAAGCTTAAAAAATAAAAATACAGTGCCACTGAATAGAATACATGAGAAAAATTCATCTGCAGTCTCTTCTCCAGTGGCTTGGCAGTCATAAGAATCCACCTAAGATTTCTTTCCTACTGTAAATTTAACGAATTATCACCTCTTGTAAGTTTCTGATTACAATGAAACTCAAAGTTTGAGCTGGTTTTCTTAGTTAGCTGTGGGAAAGCTTCTCCCACTCATTGCAAAAGAGATGGGATACACCTTTGCTTAATTAAGTCCACTGGCATCCTTCAAATTTAGCTAAAGAATAGCTGTAAATTTCACAATGAATGTTATCATTGCAAGTTTTCCATGTGAGAGAAAAGGATAAATGGGTGAATTCAAATGAGATATTGTGGCAAGAGCAGGGACTCCAGGAATGCATCCCACGTGCACAGCAATGAATGTTAGCAACTGAGATGCTATTGCAGGAACAAACAATTCCAAGTTCCTACTTGCAGTCTGGGTTAATTACATCACTAATTATAAAAGAATAGTACAGGTTTGGATCTAAATTCAGCAAAGCACTTAACACATGCTTAATTTTAAGCACATGCTTAAATCTCATTGACTTCAATGAGACCTAAGTACATGCTTAGGTACTTAGCTGAATCAAGGCCTTGATGAATACCTGAGCTAAGCACTGGAAAGTAGAATGGAGCAGGGAGTATGCCCCCTATTTTTTTTTCCACAAGCCATTTTGGATGCAACGACATCAGCTTCAGATGAATATGGGAATGCCAGCATACAACTGAAAACTACATCACCTGAATGACTGAGTGTGATCTATGTCCAAATAAAATACAGAGTGTATGGGATATTATGTATACTTTTCTGGCAAGCAAAGTTGCTTGGGTGGCAGAAAAACTATATCAAATGAAGACTGGTGCCACACTAAGCTACATTTTAGGGAGTTAATTTACACTGAATACCATTGGTCCTTGGAACCAAACAGAATATACAGTATATTAGAGCAAATACTGTGTCTATGGCTCAGGGTTGCCCAATTTGGTGAAAATTACAAAGTTACCAATTATTAAGATTTTTCATTAGGATCTTTTTCTTTTCTTAATAAATACAAAGGAAAATAGAAACAAGTTAAAACAGCAATAAATAACCCAGCATTTGTCTGGCCTACTCAGCCCCCCTTGTGTAGTCCAATAAGATTGGAGAGCTTTTCACAGTGCTCAAGTTTCAGTGACTCTGCTTTCTGTTTTAATCGCTCATCTCTGTATAATCTGGCCAAATTCGACAAGTCGGATTCTGAAAGATGAAAAAGATAACATTAGAACAATGCTACTGAGCCTGATGTGTATAATCGTTTTTAAATGCTTCATTTTCCTCAATACATTTTTATAAGATTAATAAAATCTTTAAGGAGACACTGTCAGCCCAAATTGGGCTAGGCATTTAGGAAAGTAAAAACAAATATTTCCATCATTATTTCAAATTTTAACCGTATGAAATAAACAGTCTCCTGCAGTGTTTGGATAATCCAAACACTGCAGCCTTGTGCTAGTGCATGAGAACCAGAAAATGAAACCGGTTGTCTATTTTCATTGTCCACAAAGAAAAATACAAAATGTAAACAAAGAGCAGAGTGCAGTGGTGCCCAAACTGTGGTGCATGCACCTCTTGGGGGGTACGGAGGAACCTTTGGGGGGGCAGGGAAATGATCAAGGGAGCAACTAAATTGTTAAAATCCTTTGAGTTTACTGAAAAATTATTTTTAGTCTTTCTGATTTGCTCACTAATATAATTTTCTCCTTAAGGAAATTACCAATTGAAAACAGTTAAATATACCTATGGAGAATGACAGACATGGATTTCTGAACAGGTCAGAAAAGTTTCCTTATGCACAAGCTACCTGATGACATTCAATTTGTTTGGTTTTAGAGTAGCAGCCTTGTTAGTCTGTATCTGCAAAAAGAACAGGAGTACTTGTGGCACCTTAGAGACTAACAAATTTATTAGAGCATAAGCTTTCGTGGACTACAGCCCGCTGCTTCACCACTCTGAACTTTAGGGTACAAATGTGGGGGCCTGCATGAAAACTTCTAAGCTTAACTACCAGCTTAGATCTGGTCTGCTGCCACCATCCCAAAGCTAATTCCCTTCCCTGGGTAGCCCTGAGAGACCTTCACTAATTCTTTGGTGAATACAGATCCAAACCCCTTGGATCTTAAAACAAGGAGAAATTAACCATCCCTCTCCTTTCTCCCACCAACTTGTTTGAAGAACTTTACACAGCTGTCAGATCACACAGCCAACAGGCTAATTCAGTATGGAAAAAACCTCACAATGGGACAAATCTTGTAGTCACTACTCTGTCCCACTGCAAATCTATGGGAGTTTTGATTGAGTAGTGACTATAGGGCCTTGGCTACACTTGCGAGTTACAGTGCTGTAAAGGCTCCCCCAGCGCTGTAACTCACTCCCCATCCACACTGGCAAGGCATTTGCAGCGCTGTATCTCCGTGGTTGCAGCGCTGCATGTACTCCACCTCTCCGAGAGGAATAGTGAGTATTGCGCTGCCGCTGCAGCGCTGCGGCGCCAGTGTGGCCACCCCATGCGCTGTAAATGGCCTCCAGAATTATTCGGCAGTATCCCACAATGCCTGTTCTAGCCACTCTGGTCATCAGTTCAAACTCTACTGCCCTGGCCTCAGGTAACCAACCATGTGACCCACCCTTTACATTCCCTGGGAATTTTAAAAATCCCCTTCCTGTTTGCTCAGCCTGGCGTGGTGTGGAGTGCTATCAGCGAATCTTTCCAGGTGACCATGCCTCCACACGCAAGCGAGCCCCAGCATGGAGCAATGGCGAGTTGCTGGACCTCATCAGTGTTTGGGGGGAGGAAGCTGTACAGTCCCAGCTGCGCTCCAGCCGTAGGAATTACGATACCTTCGGGAAGGTATCAAGGGACATGATTGAAAGGGGCCATGACTGGGACGCCCTGCAGTGCAGGATTAAAGTGAAGGAGCTGCGGAGTGCCTACCGCAAAGCCCGCGACACAAACGGCTATTTGGGTGCTCCCCCCGCGACCTGCCGATTCTACAAAGAGCTGGATGCGATACTTGGGGTTAACCCCACCTCCATTCAGAGCACCACCATGGACACTTCAGAGCCGGTGTGGGGGGGGGAGGAGGAGGAGGAGGAAAATGGG